TTCTTTTATTAATTTCTAATTAACTTCAAGTATTGTGTTTTCTCCTTTTCCTCATGATCGAATGCGTCCATATGACATCAAACGTTCTTGAAATTACAAAATATACGCACAAGACCGTAGTACCGTACTAATATATACAAAGTAACAACAAATAATAAAATATGTCCAAATGTACAACTTTAGTAACTAAAATTATCAACACACTATTCTTGAAAAATGTGTAAATTATAAGTACATCAGTGACAACTTCCTATATGCACCAAACAAAAATGTCTTGAACTTCTCGAGACGTGATGTTGGCCTGGTCCATTACTACTTTGCAATAATATTGCTCAGTACCAATCGTTTCTAATGAAGAAGAGCTCACCTTCTAATCATGAGTGGTAACCATGAGTGACGGAGAAGACCCTATTTTCTTTACTCTAGAAGTAAAGAATCAAATAAATAAATCCAAACAAATAAAAAATTACTCTTCATACATGACCAACGACTTGCCAAAGAAGATGAAACATGTAGCACTAATTGATATAGAAATGACACATGTGATATGAGTTAAGAGGACAATAATATATGATGGGTTAAACGAATGGTGTATTTGTGATGAGCAATGACAATGATACGTCATTTAAAAGAAATGCATGAAAGACACGATTCTAACAATGTGTGCGTGTGTGGGTGAGTGAGTGATGGGGGTACAAAGTGGGAAACATAATGTACAACCATATACCTCTTTAAATAATTATCACTACACCAACACATCTTATGTACCAAAATAGCAATGGTTGGCATGGTTCTTTATAAGATTGTAATACTATAAATGTATATTTGCATTTTTATGATCTTAATAACATGACATGTACCAGGAAGAAAACTTTATTCTTCTAATTGATGAAGGAATCAAACAAAGTCTTCTAAATCCTCGTGAGTCGAATCTCCAGATTAGTGATACAATAAGAAAATCATGAATAATATCTGCAAACCCTTGTTTTGAAGTCTCCAAACTAACAAGCGAAATTAAGCATAAAATTTAGATAGAAACTATTAATTCTTTTAAAGATGAGATATGAGAATACAAACATTACAAAAGCCTATTAAAATTTGATGAAATAAATGAAAAAGGCATCTTGATAGGCCTTTATGTCACAGTTAAGTTTTCCATCTTTTGTTCCAGTTATTTGGCAATTGAATAAAACTGGTTGAAAGTTAGTTTTTTATTTGAGATATGTGTATGTACATGGTCAGTTGTTTAGTTAATGACCATTTTTTTATTTTGGAAAGTTGAAGTATATTGTCATATACTACATAAGTCGACGTATGAAGCTCAGTTCCAAAAAGTACTCGTGAAAAATTCGAATGACACCATTTTTTAATCATATTCAGTTTAGTAATGCATTCAACTATTCAAGCATTGTTTTCACTGCAAATTTGATAATATATGGTAGACTAATGCATTCATAAAGTGCACTTTTTGCTATGAAATTTTTTGGGGGTTTGTTTGTTAACATGTCAGCTCATTCTTGATGTATTTAACGCAATTAAATCACATACAAAATTATAGTTATTATATTTTTATATATATTATACTATACTATACTACATATAATATAATATATACTCCCTCCGCCCCAAATCTATTTGCAAAGTCAACATTTTTTGGTCAATCAAGATCAAAGTTAAATTCTCTCTATTGATAATTAATTCAAAATTTAATAATTAAAATTTACATATTCAGAAACTACATCAATATCTCTTCAAAGTTGGAAACCCCAAATTAGAATATAATTAAAAATTGACATCCTAATGGAGTGAATAAAATGAAAAAAAAATCAATTTTGCAAAATAATTTAGGACAAAGGTAATACAATATGTATATACATATAAAATTGGAAGTTTGTATTACATATATACAAACTTCTATTATGATAATAATAAATCTATTAGGGCTAATTCCATTCAGAGCTTCTAAATTACTATTCATAGCCACTAAATTAAACATAAATAATTAAAACTAAACGAAATATTTAAGTTACCCTTATGACAATATACTCAGTAACTGTGAATTGGTAAATATTCGACGATAGAAATCTCTTTTAATTGTGACTCAATCTTGAGGGAAATATTGCAATAGTGATCAATGATGAGTAAATGAATTGCCAAACTTTGAGATAAAGAAAGTTTTTCACTCTAGTTCCTTGTAGGTTCAATGACTCATGACTCATGTTTCACACATTAGAAGGTTCAATGATCACTCTATATCAAAGACATGAATTTGCAGGTTAATTCACACCAAATTTTATTGTAACTATTTTTCACTACCAATCATATATATACATAGTTCGCATTGAGTCAACTATGTGGAAAATTAAAATAAAACAACCTTACACCAGAAAAAGAACTACAATAAAATTTAATAAATTTGTACTGTTTCTTCAAGGAAGAAATTTGTATACTCATTAATTATCAATTATAACTTTTAAGTACAACACACACACAACGATAGTTTTCTAGACCGCCACAAATTATAAGCTTCAATTATGATCAATATATGACACTTTCATTTGATTTTTGAAACACGAGTATTTCTACAAATTATAAGTTCCAATAAGGAAGGCAACATGACTAATTCCAGCACGCCCTAATATATATCCACGCCATTATCATGTGTCCTTGGTTGGTATATTTCGAGCGGACCTTCTAGTAAATAAGATAGTTCGGGCAAGATAATGAGGTGTAACAATTTTGATACACGGTGAGGGCTTTACTTAACAAAAGGGTAAATCTGATATTTTAAAAAAGATTATTTATTAAAATTTAATAAGGGGATTGGAATTAGAAATGTAGTGGATGTGAATAGAAATACACATCTATTAATCTATTTGTTTCAATTAATAACACCATCCCAATTTCTTTAAAAAAATACTATGCCCAATTACTGCAGCAAAACCCATTGCATGCATTGAAGAGCAGGCCCAAAAGGGATTAGATGCGGACTAGGATTCGTGGATGGAGCAAAATCATCAAACAATGCCCCTTCAAAAAGCCTGTGAAGCTGAATCAGGAAACCAGTGAAGCAGGCAGACAGTGCCGGTCCTACCTGAACTCAGGCCTGAGTCGACTTTGATAAAATGGGCCCCATACATAGTGTTTGTTTATCATATAAATTCACTAAAATTGAATGATTAAATATCACAAAAATGCAATCTTTCAACAAAAGTCTTCCATTATCACAAAACAACATTGAATGTATTAAAAAAATTACTTAAGTAAACCCCGTCGAACAATTTTAGATACATAATTTAGTGGAATCCTCAACAATATATATTATTAATTTTCTCTACAAATCAGCCCTCGACCTAACTAAAAAAGTGCAAAACATCCCTTATACAAGAGGTTCTGTTCGACCGTCACCATTCGGGGTGGTTCCTAGTGTAATTTTTTGATGAAATTTTTTGATCATCTTCTTTATCAAGTCCAATTTATCTATACCGAAGTTTAGCTAAAAATTCAACCAATAAGGCAGTCAAATGATTTTCTGAAATATACTGCGCTGTTTAACCGCGCAATTATGTTCAAAAACTCATTTGACTGCCTCCTCGATTCCGTTTTTTACTGAAATTTGATATGAGTAAGTTAGACTTAATGAAAAAAATGCTCAAAAATTTTCATCAAAAAACTCCACTGGAAACCACCCCAAATGGCGACGGACTAGGAAAATACATATGTATAATAATAGTAATGCTAAAAAAATTGTGGGCCCCTAATTTTTTCATATTTTTGGGACCCTGAGGCTTGGAGTTCTATTTTGTTCATCCATTCATGGAGGGTGAACATCATCCTCTCCCTCCAACACATGACACTTGCATTACAATTGCAAAATATAAAAGTTTTGCCAAGTGTGTTGGAGGGAAGGGGTGATGTTCACCCTGCATGAAGGGGTGAACAAAATAGAACTCGAGGCTTTGGCTTTTCAGTCTAACATAAGGCACGGGCAGAAACTATGAATAGTACTCCATAACCGCAAACATAAGTTTCAAAGTCCCCAAACCCACGAACAAAAACCGTTATGGAATCTTGATAAGACGGGGTAGGAGAACACAAATCCTATGAATACAGCGAAATTGAACGAACAAGGTATCAACGATATGTACATCTCCTTATGTTTGTATTTCAGAACTTCCATGCTGTATTTCCGTTATTCCGTTGCCGAAAAATCCAACTGAAACTGAAAGTCAACTACTTGTTCGGCATGTTTTCTTACTTGTCCGTTATTCCGTAGGTCGTTTTTGGTTGGCCCTGTCAGTTAGAAATTAGTTATCGATTCTTATGTTTTCAGTCCGTATGTAACCGACTGACCAAATTCAGAGCCCGTTTGGAGAACTCTGTTTTCGGCTTATCAGGCTTATCAGCCAGCTTTTTCACCAAACACATAACTTTTACTTTCGCGCGCTGAATTGTGTAATAAGCCGAAAAAGTAAGGTTGAAGTTACTTTTCTGGCTGTATTGGCTGAAGTTACTGTAGAGGACCATTTTAGCTATTTTTACATATAATTTTTTCTTTAATTTATTAATAAAATATATTTTTAAAATATTTTTTTCTTAAATCAGCAGAATCAGCCAAAACAGCCACTCCAGCTAGAATATCATAAATTTCAGCAGAATCAGCCAAAACAGCCGATTTTGGTGCTACCAAACGGGCTCTCAATCATCATGCCCGATATTGGACTCCCCAGACCACTCCAAGTGACTTGATCTTCTATGGAAGAGAATAATACCCAAATAGGACTAAAGTCTAAAAAAGTTTGAAAATTCCAAAATGGGACTGCCCATGTTTTTATTCTCAAAATAGGACTAAGTATTGTCATGTTTTGGCAGTACCTGACTTCAAACATGGCAGTATTTTCCCAAAGTTGGTAGTAATTACTCTTATTTTGGAAATAAAAATATGACAATCCTATTTTGGAAATTTCAAACTGTTTTAGTCCTATTTCGGGAACTCCTCTAAAAAAAGAGCGCCTGAGACCCCTGAAAAGGCGACTTAGGGCGATAGGTTCATCGCATCTGAATTCCCCAGGCGGCGTAGATTCCCGGAGGCGGCGCTTAATCGACGCCTTTTTACGCCTTTTGCGCGTCTGAGAGGCGCGCGCTTTTAGCGCCTCATGGTTAGTGCCCGATGGAGGTTTTTTTTTACCATTCCCATTCCAAGTTTTTTTTGCCGATTCAGATGCTCTCTCCTAGAATTTTCGCAGTCCTCACTCCTCACTCCATGAAACTCCTCTATAGTCTTCTCCTTCCTTCCTGCCTTCTGCCTTCTGCGTTAGGTCAGTCCTTTTGTTCCCCTGTATTTCGGGTAGAAGTTCAGAGTCTTCCAACCGGTTCCTTTCTCTGCTATCTTGAGTCGTAGAAGTAAGTACTCCGACCGGTTCCTTTCTCTGCTATCTTGAATCTTGCAAATAGGCTTTATACTCTTCGCTTTCCTTATAACTTCGCCAAGTTTGTGGTTGGTACGCAAAATAAAAACTGTATTGTTTAGGTTTGTAAAGAAGAGAGATACTTAATAAGAAATCAAATTTATTACCTAAAAATGTAAGTGATGAAACTTCTGGATCAACTAAAAAGGAAAGTTGGCCAAGTTATAAGGGACAAAAGGAGTATTATTTTAGTTTTAACTGCACTAATTGATTATTTGTTTTGAGTCGATTTTTGATTGCACTGAAGTTATGAAAGTGTATATGCTGTTGTGTTTTGATTGTTATTTCAAATTTAGACTTCAATTGTGTATTTTTTGTGGTTAGCAAATAGTAATTAGCACGTAGTATAAGCTTAGCTCGTTAATTTTGTATCTCATTGTTATTTGAAATCATTCGATTTTAGTATGAAACTTGAATTTTAGTATACTACTCCCTCCGTCCCATTAGGATTATCTCACCTTTCCGTTTCAGTCCGTCTGTCCATCTCACTACTCATACTAAATTTGGTACAATTTATGTGTTTCTAAGTCATTCTTACTTTATCAATTCAATAAACCACATAAATCTACTTTTCTTAATAACCTCACCACCTGCTCATGTCCCGATGTTAGTAAGACGGAGATAGCATATAATTATGAGTTTAAATTTTATTCGCCTTCTATGATTGGGACCCTTACTTATCTTTGCCTTATCATGGGTGTAAAAATGGTTTGAAACAGCGTTCTTTTTATGCATTTGCATGTGCTTATGCCGCTTTAATATGAATCAATATAGTTGTATGAGGCTTATCATAATTTTAATGTTTCTATCTGCCTCCTTTTTTGGCTAGTATTTGACTTTATGTTTTATCACTTAGACGTACTTAATTGCTTTTTTTTCGTTTTTAAGTTTTGTAGAGGGAAGTGAGATAGTGGAGGCTTTTTGCAAATCTGTGTTTGGGGTTGTCAAACCACAAACATGAGTTGTACTTTGTCATCTTCAATATCATATGTTGGCTCATTTTGCGGAAGCATTCGATTCAAAAACCTAAACTATTTAGTCACTGAACCTTTTGCTAGAATTGGCAATTCCAACACTAAAGCTAAACTCCGAAGGTCTCATCATGATGTGATTTCTAGCCACCTTGTTCCCAGATCCTTGGGTGGATTGCCTACATTACAGAAAGAATTGAAGGTATCAGTTCAGAATTCAGAACGAATACGAACACTGCTGATTGATAACTATGACAGTTACACATACAATATATTTCAAGAATTGACTGTTGTCAATGGGTGTAAGAGCTCTCTCACTCTCCCTCCGCTTCTGTCATTAGCTTTTCATCATCACTCTTAAGTCTTAACTGCTTCTCGTAACTCAGAAGTAGGTTATAGATCATAATAGCTTTTTGAATATTTGGCCACTAAACTTGTGATTAGTGACTAAAATCACTGCATTTGAGATGTGATGATTTAAAAAAATGAATACTAACATCTCCATACTCACTTTTTTGTTTTGACAATTTCATTTGGGGCTTTTTTGCTTCTGATTTAATGAGTGGACTTAATAGGGACAATGACTTAAGTCAGTTAATTGTTCTGCCATTAAGTTGTGTTTACTTACAACTTAATTGGAAATAGGACTTAGTCATTCACTCAAAAAGTTACTACATCATTATATCATGATATATTACTCCTTTCCACTAAGAATCTAAGATGCATGCTAAGACGTCTATTCAGGCATTTCTCTTAAACCCACAAACATTATGGAATAGATGTATCATGTGTGTCAACAAGTGACATTTTTCATGGATTAGAGTATCACAAACAACCTTAAATTGGTCACTTTTCTCAATTAGCCAATTCAGACAGTTTATTGAGCACAAAAAAACCTTCTTTATACAAAGACCATTTGATCCGGACAAACATCTTGATACGACATACATATTAATCTAGATAGAACTTAATGGAGAAAGGCAAACCGCCCCTTGATTTAATTACGCATCGAAACATTTTTCTGTGCTTACCTATTCCTTGTTACTGTATTAGTGCCTCCCCTGGTGGTTAAAAATGATGAATGGACGTGGAGAGAGTTTTATTGCTACTTGTATGAAGAAAATGCCTTTGACAACATAGTTATATCACCTGGACCTGGATCTCCAACATGCCCCTCAGATATAGGTTTGATACAAACACCAAAGCTTATATCTCTTTCTCTTATAATCTCCAAAGTCCAAACAGTTCATTTATTCAGTGCAATTAAAGACAAATATATTTAGGTCTCAACCATGAATTTTATTAATTGTAATTGTATGTGTGAGATCTATAAAGGCAATAGATTATTAGATTATAGAATTCATACTATTTTTTTTAAAAGCATATGGTTCATTCATGTAATGTTGCTGCATAGAGTCAAGACTTTATTAAATATATGAATTTTATTTTGATTGAATATTTCAATATTTCATCGAATTTTATTTTCTTATTTATTTTTTATTTCATCAAATAGCAGAATCTTGGGTAGCAAACTATACTAGTGACCTACCCCATTTTATTGTATCAATTTTCAATTTTGCAATCAACGATTCAACCATGCAAACTCAAAATCATTTTCTTTGGATAAATAAACAGATTACTCGATTGATAATGATTTTGTTTTAGTCGACACAACAATTTTTTTGTTTGCTGTCAATCCCTTGTTCCCACTATTAGTAATGTGGTTGGTTGTTTCTATAGTTCTTACTTTGGTTTTGCATAAGCGGTATATAATAAATGTTCTTAATAAAAAATATATACTATCATGACCTAAGTATTTATTTTAGGACTTTGCCTGAGGCTGTTGCTTGAGTGTAGTGATATCCCTATTTTAGGTATCTGCCTTGGCCACCAGGTAACAGTTGTTACTTTATGTTTATTTGAAAGTACATTGAGGTTATTATATCATCTCTGTGTTGGACAACTTTCCTGATTTGGATTCTTATTCATTTGTTAAATACTAAATAGGCTCTAGGATTTGTGCATGGCGCTCGGGTTGTCCATGCACCTGAACCTGTCCATGGACGTTTGAGGTACATGAGCTGTAGCTGCTAAGATATGCAGTTTTGTAGGTATGATTTCCATGAAACCTTTGAACTGCGTTTAACTTTTCTTTTTCTTGTTGCAGTGATGTTGCACATAATGGTTCCAAGCTATTCCATGAGATCCCCTGTGGAATAAATTCTGGATTTAAGGTTGAGTGGATTTTTCTTTGATTAGAAATGATATTCAAGTAATCAAGTCAGATTTTCATTATTTTGTTTTTATTTTCGTGTTTATGCTATTTCCAGTTTCATATTTCTGAGTATGTATTTCAGATTATAGGTTCCTATTGTTTTTCCGAGAAATGCTCAATAGAAATCTTTAATGCAGGATCTTATCAATGTTGAGTTGTAGTTAGTGCACAAGTAGATGTTTGAAGTCAATCTAAGTTTTCTTCTTCTTATTTTGATACAAATAGGTGGTTCGATACCATTCTTTAGTTATAGAGCCTGAATCACTCCCAAGGGAACTGATTCCTATTGCTTGGACACCAACCTCTGAGACCACTCCTTTCCTAAGAAGCTTTCAATCTGATCCATATACTCATGCATGTGACGGAGTGAATGGGAATAAAGTTTATGTTGGACCTCTATCCAAAGATTTAAGAAATGAAAGTTCATTTTTCTCTTGTGATGCTGAAAAGATTCCAGCTGGACAAATCCTTATGGGCATCAAGCATTCCAGCAGGCCTCATTATGGACTGCAGGTTTGTTTTGTTAAATGGGTTTGTGCATGGTTCTCTTTCGCCATGTTTTAGTTTTAAATTTTTAATACTATTTTCTTTTGCCTATAGTTCCATCCAGAGAGTGTTGCAACCTGCTATGGAAAGCAGATTTTCAAGAATTTTGCCGAGATAACTAAGGGTTACTGGTTGAGGTTGAATTCCCCCATTAGTGAGAAAAATGTCACTTATGCTGGTAATTTCTATCTATTTTTCTTATATTCTGATCAGCTGATCTCAATTAATTCATACAATTAACACAGAATTATGTACAGTTCTAGCTACAGTTGGGAGTTTTAATGAAAATGTCCTGATATAGTTGACTACTTGACTTTCATTGCATTTTTTCTTGTGCCTAGAAATTCTCTCATCCCCAATGTCTGATTTTCTTTTAATTTCATCTGACAAGAAACCGCAACTTTTGAACATCTCTATATTCTATTCATTAAATTGATGACAAGTATTTTAAATTTCTAGGGGTTAGCACTCAAATTGTTTCTCATTGGAATGACCTATTTTTAATCCTGATCAGTAAACCTCACGTAGAATGCATGCAGGCGGCTAAAGTGGACCAGATACTTAAAGATGCTTCAAGAGGAGGCAACATAGTGACTACTTTGGGTGAGAAGAAAAACATCTGTACGCAGAGCATCATAAATTCTTCAGATCCCGGCTATAATGTAAAATATTTGAAGATGAGATGGAGAAAGCTTGATTACCTGGCCAGCCAAATTGGGGGATCTAAGAATATATTTTGTGAGCTATTTGGTGGTCAGAATACTGCAAACTCCTTTTGGCTGGATAGTTCCTCAACAGAAAAGGTCTTTCTTCTCTTCCATTCAGCTTTTGAACTACTTCAATAGCTTTTGAAGCCTCTAATTCTATGTGTATATCTATATCAATCTATGATGTCGTTGCATTACTACTTAGCCCAGCTGGTCGCCGACTCACTCTCCCTTACGGGAGGTCCTGGGTTCGAAACTCAATGGAGTGAGTTTCAGCCTTGATTACTCCAGGCCCCCAGCCCCCCTCCCCAGACGCCCTCTGGAGTAAAAAAAATGAATGCTTTCAATGGTGGGTCATTAACTCATATATTTGCATAAAAAGGTGGAGGGCAAACTCCAATTCGTAACTTACTAAATCGTTTCACAAATTTATGTAGTTTCATGTTAATAACTGCTTGGTGATTTCTAGGAAAGAGCAAGGTTTTCATTCATGGGCATAAAGGGTGGGTCCCTGTGGAAGCATGTTTCATTTAGGTTATCAGATGAACGGTAAGCTTTTGTCAAACCTTGTTGCCTATGTGCTATGACATTAAGTTCCTCTTTATATGTTGGATTATTGTAGGCATGTATGTTAAGTAGTGATTCTTTGTGAGGCGTCTCATTTTCAGAGGCGAAGCTTATAAAGGAGGTGGCCACTTAACAGTTGAGGATGCTAGTGGCTATCTTCAAACTTCATATCTTGAAGATGGATTTTTGGATTATTTGAATAAGGTATCCTGCGTCAATAAGATATAACTTTTTCTTATCTATATGGAAGTTTCAAATAAATATTATAAATGCTCACTAACATATTCATCTCCTTTTTCTTTCTTGCTGCCCGTGTTCTCACATTTGCACCACGATAATCTATTACTGGTTTTGAGCATTTGCTGACATATATATCAGGAGCTTGAGTCATTTTTCTATGATGAAAAAGATTACGAAGGATTGCCATTTGACTTTTATGGTGGCTATGTCGGTTATATAGGGTAAGTATTGAGGGTTGCTCATGCATTAGAGAATCCACATTATCTCCATTGTCTTCCTTTTAATATCTTTGTATGCTTTGCATTTGCTTTGCCTGGTCTTGTTTTGGGACCTACTATCCTTATCTTGGAAAATTTCCTGTAAACTGAAAGACTCCTCACTTCTTGGAAGAGTGAGAAGTGAGAACTGAGAAGTAGGCCATGTTATCATAGTTATAGCCTGCAAATGGTGTTTTTTTAGAACAAGGATTCTCATTGTTCAAGGCTTAGGATGTATGCAAATGCAGCTTTCCAGTTTCAAATAAGAAATAAATCATAGTATTGGCCACAATATGTGTAACTATTAGCCTTTCTTTGGTTCAAAAGAAGGGAGGGAGGGAGAAATGGTGAATGAGGGAGGGGAAGAAAATAGAAGAGTTTACAAAGATCTCATGTTTTGTTCAATAGAAGAGGTGAATTATTTTAGAAATAAATATATATATAGACATTATGTTTGATATATTCTTGTTGTAAATAGAATATAGTACAAAGTACCCATATGTATAACCATTCTAACGGAAAATAACTTTGATTAAAAAGGTAAAAACAGAAATCAAGAAGTTTTTGACACCAAAATACCCCATATTAAGGAATGAGATATGGTCTATCCCCCCACGGCCGCACCCCACTTTCTTCCCGTTGCCTTCAAAGGCCCCAGGCAAGGGCTTAGGCTTCATAACTTATTCATTTAGTCAGCTGGCATTGAATAACACTTGCTGCAGGTATGATCTTAAAGCTGAAGCTGGCAGAGAAACTAATCGTCACAAATCAAGGGCCCCAGATGCTTGTTTTTTCTTTGCAGATAATGTTGTAGTTATTGATCACCACCATGACAATATCTATATCATATCGCTTTATGATAGAAATACAAATACTTCCCCTTGGTTGGATGATATTGAGAAAAAGCTTCTCCATTTAAAATCTTCTGGCTCCAAGGCACATACTCCAAACACATCTCAAAGTTTAGAGGTCTATCCGGCAAAAAAATGTTTTTCTGCCGAGAAGTCTAGAGAGCAGTACATAAAAGATATTGAGAAGTGTCAAGATTATATCAGGGATGGAGAAAGTTATGAGTTGTGTCTTACAACTCAGATGAGATTGAGAATAGGGGAAATTGATTCCCTAGGACTTTATGTTAGTCTTAGAGTTAAAAATCCAGCACCATATGCTGCATGGCTTAATTTTTCAAGGGAAAATTTATCAATATGTTGTTCTTCTCCTGAGAGGTTCATGCGATTGGATAGAGATGGGATTCTGGAAGCAAAACCCATAAAAGGGACAATAGCTCGCGGTTCAACCCCAGAGGAAGATGAATTGCTTAAACTAAGACTACGACACAGGTAAATGATTTTTCTTTTATTAAAGAGAAGAAAAATAAAAAAAATAATACCTTAAATATGACCAAAATGAGGATAAAGGACAATAATGTGACCTAGTTTCTTTTAGTTATTATGTTATGTTCAATTCTTACGCCCTAATGACCATAAAAGTACTCATAATAACTTTAGTCACATTTCCCCCCTAAGTTTTAGTTTAGTATGTAGTAATATTTTAGGAAAAACCTAAAAAATTAAAATTGTTAATATAGTATTAGTTGCTATACGGCTATACCATATCAAATTCTTTATCCCCTTTTGAATACCATATTCTCAATAATTTCAATCATACTTTAAGATGATTCTTATTCAATGATTCTTATTCTTCTTACTAAATTACTACCTCCATTCTTAAATAAGTGCAACATTGCAAATTTTACACTATTCACATGTTCTACTTTGACTACATTTTATTTATTGATGTATTAATATATTTTTTTGAAAAAAATATTACTAAATTTGTCTCATTGTAAATTTTCAAAATCTGATTTTTTTAATATTTTTACTAATAGAGAGTTATATATATTAACGGTCAAAGTTGTGCCTCGGCAAATGTGAAAAGTTGACTGTTGCACTTGTTTAAGAATAGAGGTAGTATTAAGTTAGTGTTTGGTAGAAGGCCTAGCTAATGAGGCTGATAAGTGAATAACATGTGTTTAAAAATTTGGTACCAAATGGGCACTCCCCCCTGGAAGCGCCCACTAACTTCCGACTTTTAAACTTAAACCTTCTAAGTAAAAATACAGCTGAACTCATTGGCCACAAATTTCTGTCTTTTTGGCAGTGAAAAGGATCAGGCCGAAAATTTGATGATTGTTGACCTCTTGAGGAACGACCTTGGGCGTGTATGTGAGCCTGGCTCGGTCCATGTACCCCACCTCATGGAAATTGAATCATACGCAACAGTCCACACAATGGTTAGCACAATACGGGGAGAGAAGCGGTCAGATGTTAGTGCAATTGATTGTGTGAAAGCCGCATTCCCTGGCGGGTCAATGACCGGAGCACCAAAGCTGAGATCAATGGAAATTCTCGACTACCTTGAGAGTTGTTCCAGGGGCATTTACTCTGGCTGCATCGGCTTCTTTTCATACAACCAAACATTTGATCTCAACATTGTCATTAGAACTGTTGTGGTACACGACGGTGAAGCCTCCATTGGAGCAGGAGGAGCAATCACGGTTATGTCAAGTCCTGAAGATGAGTATGAAGAAATGGTTTTGAAAACTAAAGCTCCTAGAGATGCTGTTATTGAGCACATTAAGGATGGATAACTACATGGTTGGGTCATTTCAACTTTAAGAGGAAGCTGCGTTATTATTAGTATTACTCTCAGAGTTTACTATGAGTATTATTCAGCGTCAACAGTAATGCTCTCAAGATTAAAGGTTGAGTAATGCTCTCAAGATTAAAGGCTGAGTAATGCTCTCAAGATTAAAGGCTGTGGTGTTGTGTGTGACAGATAACTTTAGGTTCTCAGAACATTTTATTCTATTTTCACACAGAAAGAGTGTAAAAGGCGTTGTGTGTTCGGTGGGTGGTGTATCGACACCTACTATCTCGCAGATCCGGGTAGGTGGTGCACAATTAGAGGGAAAGTATACTAGGCAGGTGGTGATTAAACTAGATTGGATATGCTGGTTCTGTTGAAGCTATTGATGCTATGTCTGAAGGGTTGAATATGTTGAATATCCAATTAAAATTAAAAATTTATTTATTAAAATAAAACGGGTAAGCATTAAATATATCAATTTTAGCCATTTTTCACTATAAACAGTTTAAGCAACCAATGGAGTTGCGCTAGCCTGCAGTTAAAAGTGTCTTTGGGCAGAAATGAATGAAGATAGAGATGACCATATTCAAGGTTGTGTTGACAACTTGACATAAGCGAACGTGGATACCGCAATTATTTTTAATTTTGTTAAGAAAGGACCTTAGTATATCTAGAGCTCCAAAGTTTTAAATATGGTTTATGTTGCCCATTACTGGATAGTATCACTGTGGCCCGCTCAAATAATAGATCACATGTTTGAATCTCTTCTTAATAAAAATATTGGCATTCATGTAGAACAAATATATAATAGTGTTTGTTTGTTTCAATTGAATCCAATTGCGTGATTCCTTCAATATAGGATCGAAATCGAATGGTTTTATTTTTTGTTGAAGAAAGCCAAAAAGGTTTAAAACTAGGACCAAAGTTGATGTGCCCAGCTAAAGTTTTGGTTCCTCCCTACCCGTGAACCAAGACCCGCTGGTGTAGACTGTAGATTGGCAGTGAAATGAAATTGGTCAGGGTCAACCCATACTTTACACCACTTTATTCTAAAGCGTTGTCCCTCCCTTTCTTGAAAGACTTTGACATTCCTGTTTCATTCCTGTTTGACAACACACAATTTTGACAATTGATATACTCCATTTGTCTCATAAATTTGACCAAAGTTAATTTGCATGCGCAATAATAAAGTAAAATTTGGTTTTTGAGAATTCTGGTGTGTGATAATGTGCACACTACTGACACTAGTATACCTGATCCTTCTTTTAACTACAGAATAGTTTATCACATGATCCTACATTTACCTAAAAAATATATTATCACAAAGTTATAATCTTTATCACATATGGCGGTTACAAACATGAGTAGTTGTACACAAAATTGACATTTGCACAAAGTATACATGCGATCGCCCAAACCAATGTCTTTAGGGGCACAAACTAATGTCTATTTGTAGACCGTAGTTGTCCAAGTAGGAACGATTCATAGTTTCTTAGATAAATTTTTTCACACGAACACAATTTTTTTAAATATAATTTTCCTAACAATGATTGTGTAATGACTTGACTAAACCCATTGCATATAGGGGTGGAACGGGCCTGGGTCAAGCTTCGGGCGTTTCACTTTTTTTGGGCATTAGGCCCGGTACCGGTCCGGATTGGTTCCGGGACCGGGCCGGGTGTTATATATATATATATATATATATATATATATATATATATATATAGGAAAATGTTCAATTAAGGTAGCCTAAGAATTGTAATTCTTACGCCTCTTTCATTTGATGTTCTTTCGGGTCGAATTTTTTGATGAAATTTTGTAAGCACGTTCTCCGTGCAGTGACTATGACCACCAAATTTCATATTAAAATTCAATCGGAAAGTCGGTTAAATAGTTTTTTCAAAATTGCACAGGTTTTTATATATATAAAATGCAGTTTTTTTCAATAATTTATTTAACTGTCTTTCCAGTTGAATTTTATTGTGAAACTTGGTAGACATGATCTACAAATCATGTAGAACATTCTCACAAACTTTCATAAAAAATTTGACCCGGAAGCACCTAAAATGAAAGAGGCCTAAGAATTACTATTCTTAGCCCTACCTTACTTGAACATTATCATATGTGTGTGTGGTTTTCCTAATTTATTCCTAATCCCCCACCCCCAAACACCCCCAAATCACCCCGCCCAGCCCTTCTACTCCCCCATTCCATTTGAAAAAACAAAAAAAAAATACTTTTTTGGCACGGACCGGTCCTGGACCGGCCGGGCCGGTTCCAAGAGGGCTTAAGTCCGTGACCCGCCCCCCGGTCCGAGCCCCAGGCCTGGTCCCGATCTCGGTCAACCGGGCCGGTCTGGTACCGCACGTCCGCACAATGGCGGTCTGGGCCGGGCACCGGGCCGGTCCGATTGGTCCCGGTCCACCTCTAATTGCGTACATAAATGTAAACCAATGTGTACTATATTGCCATTTTCTATTACAGATAGATTCTACGTACCTCCAATTCATGTATGGAGTTTGTAAAATGAAATAAACTCACTCCGTGTTAGATAGGTATAATAACTACTAAACTGCTTTTGTCAACCATAAGGAGCACCGGCACGTTGGACTACATGCTAACGGGATTTTGTGAAGCGCTACACCAGGGTCAATTCCCCCTCATGACGGAATTTTGTGATACTCTGGAATCCGGTTGCTAACGGGTTTCCGGTTTTCCATTGGGCCGGGTTCCGTCCGGGTCCAAGCAAGAGTTTCAATTTGAAAATAAAATTAATTTTCATTAGCTATACATATTCATTTATATTTTTCAGTCAATATTGACCGGGTTGATGAGTTGATTCACTATTGAATGAGTTGACCCACTAACTAGCAATTACCATACACAACTAAAAATTGTTTTCGACCATTTCTTTTGTCGAAATCACGGGCAATTCGTTAAGAAGGATATCAGTTGTTTGTGACACAAACAAAATGAGCCTTGTACACAAAGAAGTTTCATTTTATAATGTGGTTGTATGTTGATACATGGACATGCCCTGAACATGGTCAATTTCATACAACTAAACATGGTGTCATCACTGCCTATCTAGGCTCTCTTTCACTCTCTTCTCACTAAAAAAGATGAAACGTTAATCACGCAGAAGTATGGTCACTAGATCGAGTTAGGCACAAAGCTGAGTAATACCTTATATGTACTGGATGAAGTAATTTAACCTAAGATACACACACTTCACAACTTTATATTTATTCCAACATAAGTACAAATACATAATTCTCATATATTCAATTGAGGGGCTAAGTATAGGTAGCTGAAAGGTAGATAAGGTGGACTGGACTGCTAGTTAGAGTATATATTAGCCATTAATAGTAGAACTGGTCTAACAGGGCAATAACATATTAACAATTGAACACCTTACACCTATGTTACTATAATTAAGGGCATCTATAGACACTATAGAAGGCTGATAGCTAAAATGGACGGTCACATTGGACAAAGGCAAATTGGTGTCATTTTCCTTGGCTAAGTTAGTGTTAATTATGGCCTTATGGGTGACTAATTTTGTAGGCATAAGGAAAAGCGTAGCAGCAGGCCAGGGACATTTTTGGCTCATTGGCAGATAGATTAGCATTACATTGAATTTTGTGAGAGGGCAATTCAATAGGGAAATCAATGATTAATGAAGATGTACTACTAAAAGATGCTATGCAGTGCCTATGCATGCTTTCTGCTAGAAGCATAATCCATTATTAAGCTCTTGTTTCATCAACCCAAAAGGGTGGAATTGCTCGTTTCAGGCATTCACACACTGTGACTCAATAGAATAGTGTAGAAGTAAATTATGATATGATCTCAAAGTTTTTGAGTGAGGTTGTTTAGAGTCTAGTGTGCAATGCACAATAAATCATCATGCACATTAGATGAAACTTTCACATTATGTTACTATGAGATCTTTATCCATGATCTGTAAATGTGTCTACCAATTCAAATGTAAATTACACTACATGCATATTTTATTTAAGTCCTAAGTTAGTGAAGATTCCATCACTTAATTGTTATAGAATCTGTTAAAAGGACAACAACAATACTCCGTAATGTCAAAATATGACAATACTTATTCTTATTTAGAGAAGAAAAACTTAATAGTCATGTCCTTCAATTCACAAACGTTTTTACTCCTATATATTACTACCCCGTCCCATTTTATGTGTCCTACTTTGACTTGACACAAATATTAATGTAAATATGTAATGGTTGAAAAAGTGAAAGTTGTGATTGAGATTTGAGTATAATAAAGTGAAATGTTGTAGACCACATATTTCTTTCCAAAAAGGAAAATGAGACACTTATTTTGGGACAATCCAAAAAGGAAAGTAGGACAGATAAAATGGAACGGAGGAGTACGTATAACGCAATTTCTTAAAGGTTAATCATATTTTAGTTACTTTTTAAATTAGAAGTAATCCTATTGTCCATTTAAACACTAGAGATATGTGTTGGGCACTCTGCCACAAACTCACATTAACACCCTTAAAACCTATGAAATACTACAGTAACTCGTCAAAATGAAGTTATCTTGGATAAAATTCAAAATTTTATTTGGAGTTTCCTTGGACTTATTAATTTATACTTGAAACGGGGCAAGCCTACAACGTAACAGTAACAGATTGAGCAGAGGCTCTTTAGATTTAGTAGATGACCTAGAGGGGCCTGGGTAGCAACTAGCAAGTGTCTCTCCTACTTGCCTCGAAATCTAGTATTAATACTCATCTGAACAAAAAAACCTCCTTCGTATTAGATACATATATGGATAATTCCATTGAAGAACATATAACAACTAATGCCGCCACTGCATATTCATTGGTTTTGACTACGAGGTGTGATGGAGCAATGTAAATGACTACGAGGTGTGATGGAGCAATGTAAATTACACTAAGACATGTTGATATCAGTGGCGGATCCAGGAAATAGAACTATAGGGGGCGGAAATATAATGAAATATCCGAATAGCGAAAATTTGTAAAACAGTACATAAGAATTTACAGGCTAAATAAAATATATTACAATATAAAAGAAATTTAAAAGGTGGTCACAATCGGTCTCTTCAAGGGCGGAGGTAGAGGGGGCCAATCGAGCCCCAACCTACTCCAAATTTCTTTGAATTTGGCTACATCCTTGGGTGTTTTGAATTTTCAACTTTTGAAAGAGATCTTTTATAATTTCATTTGTAATGGTTCCGAAATCCGAATACATCTCTTTCTATACCATATAAAGTAAGCAAGACAATCAACCAGAATTCTATTTTCATAGTAATAATATTTATAGCTAGTTGCAAATTTTATATTGTTAATTTTAACTTACTAAAGTTAGTAAGTTATTGTACTAACACTTCAATAGATTAGGAATTTTTTAGAACAGACTAGGATATATTATACTTCGTTGTTTATTTATTATGCTAATTAATAAGTACATACAAAGGGCTTGATCATCAAAGCTATACATAAGCAGTTTAACAATTTAACACATACGGAGTACAAAATATACAATAAGCATTAGTCACACTCAAATAGTTAAAACGTACTTAATAGACTTAAAAGAGACGTACAGTGAGAAACATAAACTTTTGCAATGCAGAGGAACGAAGCTTTTGATGGTTAATATAGCTGAAGTATACGGAGTATTATTTCATCATTTGAGCATTGAGTTACTCAGTATTACTTGTATACTTTAGTTGGGGGCATTTCACTTTTTTTAATGGGGCAATTCTATTGATCAATTTTTTTCCCTAGTATAATATAGAGAACTATTCTTAGTTTATTGGGGGCAGCTGCCCCCCCCCCCCCCTACTCTACATGTGCATCCGCCCCTGGTTGATATGATCTTTCTTTGAAATAGACATTGATGAGTTTTTTTCTAAGTATTATAATGTTTGTCGAAATTCTAAAGTTAGAGATCAAAGATATGACAAAACTACTAATATGTGGGATGATGTTGAACTTAATGGATGGAGGACTTTTATCATAAAAAATGCGTCAATTTACAATATGATAAAAGTTAGATGTATAAAATCATATTATTAAATAAAGCTGTATTGAAGGGTGAAATAAAAAAAAATTAAATTATACTTTACTTCATGTTTTAACGCCGTAGTATTATATTTCAAACAAGTTCTATCAAATTTTGTGACACAATGTATATCATTCGACATTATTCTAGTTCAGAACTGAAACACTAACCATTTTATAGTAAGAAAAATAACAAGAATTCTAACACAAAATCAAAGACGACAGTGCAAGGATGATTCATTTCTAATCGAATAATGTCCTTTCACAAATATAAATATTATTGCTTGGAATCGTCTTAATGAAATCAAAACTAGACTTATAATCATAGATGTACATCATTTGAGACCAATTGAATAAATTATTTCCGATTAAAAATAATAATTTGAACAAACTAAACAGGATAGACTAGTACTATGTACTTCGTATTACATTGGACCCGATCCGATCCATTCCCATCCATAGGATAGTGCCCTCAGAAAATTTCTGGATCCTCAGAGTGCAGACTTGTCCTTTCCGTGTTATTGAATGGGTCTATATTATATGAGTGGAATGCCAATTTGGAAATTAGTTTGTTGAGCATAAATTTTTAATTCTAGGTAGACTTTCGTGCCTTGAATTCTCAGACTCCGTCCAACTTGATTAAACCGCCCTACGCATGAGCACATTCAAAAGTAAAAATGAAAGAGGTGGGAAAACAGATTTTAGAGACATAATTCCCCTAATACCTAAGGATTACAATAGGGATCACTATACTTTGACTTTCCAAAGTGGTTTTGTCCACAAAATGGTTCAAATGCCACTCCATTAGGCAGACAAGAAAGCCCAACAAGATAATTTTTACAGTTGGATGTCCTTTTCAAATCTCACTCTAGCAAAAGTTAAAGCTGCAGGTTTACCACTCTTCCTCCTTCAGATTTACCTTTTCTCACCTGCACTGCAATGAAGTCACACAGTGATTAGCTTTACCATTCGCATTAAGTAACATTTGGGGTGGTACAGTACACATTGTAGTGGCCATTATGTGGTGCACTGTAAGTAGAAGGAGGCTAGGCTCTCTCTGTATTTTCAAATTTAGTGGAACAAACAGCACGAGTACTCAGAACTTATTTTCCAGGATCATATGTTTCAGAAAATATGGTTTATACACAAAACGTTTTTCCGGACTCATTTTGTAAAAAATGAGTGACTTTGATTTATTCTACATTTGAATTAACAGAATGAATAGAAAGGTGTGATTTTGATTCATTTAGAAAAGATAGAATCAATATCAACCAAACAATTCTTTAAAAAGAAATGGGGATTTTTTTTAAGACAGCCTAAAGAGAAAACAGATTTCTTTGGCAGGGTTCTAATTTGTAAAGCAGTCGTAGTTGTGCCTACATAGAATCAATACGTTTCAGTATCCTTTTAATTATTGATCTTATAGATATAAAACTTTGTGAAATGGTAAATCACCCATGTCACAAAATGTCAAAACTAATACTCTCTAATTGTTGCAACTTTGTGGGATTCAGGTATATATGTTCAAATAGAGTAAAATCAGTAATTTGTAGACTGATCATGTGTAAATACGGAGTATCAGTTATATATTGACTGTAGTCATTATTTAAGTCAATGTATGATAAGTATAATAATGAAATAAGGAAAGTAATGTGAAACTATATCTTGACAATACACTTACTACAAAGAGCAAAGATGTGAAAAAAGGATTCTTCTTGTTGTACCCACTATTGTACACACTTTTGTACCCACCATGTCTTCATAGACATATTTTTGTCTATGACCGGGATTCACAGACAAAAAAAAACTCTTCACAGACATGGTGGGTACAAAAATGTATACAAAAATGTATACAAACAGATTTTTCCGTGAAAAAATCATACCCTTTTTAGGAGTGATATACTTTTCAAAAGAGAATAACACAGCTCGAAGTGCCTCTTGTCACAGTATCACCCCCATGGCCCCATAAGTACGACAACATCCGTGTTTTTTTTTTTTTAATTTGACTTTTGAACTCTATGCTTATAAAGTAAGGATACTAACAGTTGTTTTCTTTTTAAAGCTTTGACTTTTATGATCATGAGAATTTAATTTAACGACATGCATGAAGGGAAATGAGAATTTACTCTAGTCGATCACAACTATCTCAAGAAAAAGGTACGAAATAAAGCCTAGATACCAGTAATGATCACATCAGAAATAGTCAATCCAAATTTTTTACTACTAGTGGAAGTTGAGATATACCACATCATAATTTCTTGCCATTTTTTCTACCGTCCTAAACTCACCTAGTTATAGACACATTCTTTTCATTTTAAAAAGGTATGCACTCCATCTCTAAAGACGCTTTACTCAAAGAGTTAAATTGAGTTCTAATCACAATCTCATTTTTTTAGAGTTAATCACAATCTCATTGTTAGAGAGTGAAAGATTCATTTCATACTTACATGGACCTCTTATTGAGCAAGGTTGTCCCCTAAGATAAGTTACTAAACTTATATGAATTGAACCCGGTTCTACCCTTAGTGGCACACTACCAATCAATTGAGCTACACCGATCAACATCGTTTTCATTCAAAGAGAACTAGAGATAGCACAATAGGAATTGCAGACTATAGAGATAGCACACTATAGAGAGAAAGAGATTGTTGATGAGAAAGGGGGCACAATAGGAATTGCACACTATAGAGATAGCACACTATAGAGAGAAAAAGATTGTTGATGAGAAAGGGGGCAAATAAGCTCACGTACTAACAAAAAAGGTCAAATAAGCCCTCATATATAGGAGACTTTGTCCGGCCATTGCCATTTAGGACGGTTCCCGGTGGAATTTTTTGATGAAATTTTTTGAGCATCTTAAATTATTCATTAAGTCTAGTTTACTCCTACCAAATTTCAGCTAAAACTCCAATTAGGAAGGCATTCAAATGAATTCTTGAAGATAACTGCGCAGTTAAAAGCGTAGTTATCTTCAAGAATTCATTTGAATGCCTTCTCGATTGAATTGTGAGCTAAAATTTGGTATGAGTAAACTAGACTAAAGGAATAAGATGCTCAAAAAATTTCATCAAAAAATTCCACAGGAAACTGCCCCAGTAAACTAGACTAAAGAAATAAGATGCTTAAAAAATTTCATCAAAAAATTCTACAGGGAACTGCCCCAAATGGCGATGGCCAGACAGAGCCTCCTATATAAGGGCTTATTTGACCTTTTTTGTTAGTACGTGGGCTTATTTGTCCCTTTTCCCATTGTTTTTAAATAATGAAGAGTAAAAGTGAATAAATTTATAGAAATTGCACAATATAGGATCAAATATATATAAAGTTCAAAAATAGAACTAAGTATATTTTATTTTCCAAATAGGACGAATTTAATCCTATTAAAAGAAAATTTGGATGACACTATCTAATACTCCCTCCGTCCCAAAAACAACTTCACAGTTTGACAATCACATAGATTAAGAAAATAAATTTGACTTTACTGTTGGATACACTGTTTTGCATTGTTCAAACACTGTTTGACACTGTTTTGATGTACATGATTTGCCAAATAAGAAAAGTATTGAAGTGTGAAGTTAATTTAGGGACATCCATTTAAGGAAAGTGGAAAGTTGTTTTTGGGACGGAAGGAGTATAGAGTATTGAATATTGTTGTCCAAATTTTCTCCGTGGAAGCTCTTGAATATTGTGTGTATAATTGTAATCAAGTGAAGTAGATAAAAAGGGGAAGATACTATTACTTTAATTTGCCTATTGTAGTCAACCATAAAATACATCAACATGATTCACCAAATCCCCAAAGCCCTTTATCTTTGAGTATTTTTTTTTAAGAGTACGGACAAACTGTCTTTATGATCGGATGAACCCACCCAGGTACTAGAATCTCAAATGACCACTTTGCCCCCCTTCACCTACAAGCTTTCCCTAGGGTCCATCTGCATATCACTAAAATGGTCTAGTGAGTTGTGAACATCAATGTCCGTGAGGGTAACAACTAACAAGTAACAACTTAACCTAAAACGGCCTCTGTAGCATACATCATCACCTATTTGAAGTGGGAGACTTCTTTCTAAATCACCCAAATGCCTAATGTGATCTTTACAAAGACAAAATGACAAAAATGACCCACGAGAACACATAAACAAGTAAACAGTATCAGCATCTGGCCATCTTGTTTGGTTGGACAGATTGTGTTAAAAAGAAAATGGATGGAGAGAAGTGGGACCATTTGATAGGAAAAATATAAACCGTTTGGTTGGGTGAGTATTAAAAAAGTTGACCTGGTCGCCACACCACACGTGATAAGAGAACTTTGAGGGTAAGAAAATTCAACCTCATTAATGCAATCTCATAATAAGAACATAATCCACTTTCCTTTCCCTACTCCACCTCCTTTCATTAATAGAGTACTCCTCTTATTAGGGTTTCCCTCCATCTCGTGACTTAGAAAAGTCCACCTCAACCCTTATTCTTTCCTTTTTTTCACTATATACGGAGTATGACTATATGAGCACTCATGGATGCAGGAATTTCCGACTGGACGACCGGTAGTGTGAAGTTATAAGGAGTACATTATACACATTAACACACGCATCTTAAAACTTTGTACTAAAATGATTGCATTGTATGTAAAATTGAGGGCCGTAAAAGCTTTTTAATGTAAATTGTAGAATGTTGTTCGTTTTCATACGTAAAACTATTTTTTGGGGGAGGATGATAAATACTTGACGTGCTTTTTCTAACGCAGTAAAATGACTTTGATGTAATTTGATTTTTACATGCCTACCAAGACAACATTTTTTATTTAATGCAAAGTGATTGCTTCCTTAAACGTTGCATAATATCAGGATGTTTTTTTTTTGACTGAAATTTGCTGGTCTGGTCTGGTCTGAACTGGTCTGGTAAACGTCTGGTCTCTTTGTATTTTATAACTATCCAGGTCTGGTCTGGTTTGGTCTGGGCTGTTTAAGTCTAGTATGGTCTGGTCTGATCTGTTTAAGTCTGGTCTGGTTTGATCTGGTCTGGAACTGAAAACAGTCCAAAAGAAAACATCCTCACTTTGCTTAGCTCAATCACATAAACGAGACAACATAATATCGACATGTAAACGAGTCATAAATGACTCAATCACATTTAAATAATACCCACGAGTACAAAATACATAAAACACTAGTCCGTAAATCTTACTCCATACTAGACCAGAGTTATGACCAATTAGTTTGAACAAATTAGGGTAAACAAAATCAAACATAAACATGCAAGCAGCAAGATTAGAACACTTCAAATTAGATCATACTTCGTACCAAACTAATCTAGAATTTAAAAAGTCCCACTACATAATGACCCTCATCTATCACATGTAGGGTTGTATACGAACCGAATCGAGTCGAATAATGAGATTTTGTATTTGTATTTGTTTAATTTTTTCGAATACGAATTCGAATTCAAATATGAAACGAATATTAATTTCGATTTGTATTTGTATTTGTTTAACAATACGAATAATTAACGAATTATATACGAATATCGAATCGATTTGAGCATAGGTTAAATATTAGTCAAATACGGAGTATCACTTTAAAATAAATTTTCTTATACTCCGTATTGTTTATGTTGTAAATGCATGCTATTACTTAATATGTGTTCTTAGAATTTAAATTTAATGGATCAGTGCATTTTTAGATGGTTCACAATATACTAAAGTGAATTAATTTTATGATTAATAAATATAAATCTATTTCAAACCTTTTGAAATAACTACTAACACACACATATTAGAAATTATACTTATAATGTGTGAAATAAGTTGACAATTGTATATATCAAAGTTAAACAACTCTAATTTTATTCTTCAAATCAAATACATAATTATTTGTATTGTATTTGAAAGACATTTGAACCAAAAAATTGATTTATATTCGTATTTATATTCTGATTTATTACAAATATGCTTCAAATCTGTATGCAAAAATATATATATGGGCTACACGTTAAGAATATTGCTATCTTTTAAAAGTTATTATAGTGTTATTACTATTATTAATAATATTATTATTATTAATATTGATATTAATATTACCTCTACTATTAATCGAATATATTTGATTAATATTCGAATCGAATACACTGATATTCTTATTTGTATTTGATAACAACTCGAATCAAATTTAATATTCTTATTTGTATTTGTATTTGAATTTTGCGAATTCGAATCGTCTTATACGAATTCGAATCGCGAATCGAGCACAAATTATTTGATTCGTTTACAACCCTAATCACATGCATGGTCAATTTTATGCCATATGACAAATTTACTTCCATAATTTGCTATGGAGCCAAAAAATTTACTATTTTTTGATTTGAGAATATGATGGAATAAAACAAAATGATTCACTCAATTATCTACGCTTCTTGAAACATTAGTCAGTCTATACAATGTTCAACGTAATTTTTACTATGAATTATCCGAAAACGGTCCACAAGTATAGGAGGTGGCCATCCAAATGTACATCCAGGGGTGGAGACAGGGAGGGGCTGGAGGTGACCATGGTCCCTGTAAGAAAAAAATCTTAAACATATATTATGTATAAATACTTTTAATCGATAGAGAGTATGTTAATATTTTAAACTTTGGCCCCTGCAATATAAAATTCTTAAGGACCGGCCCCTTTGACCATAAGTGTGTAGCTCCGCCACTGCGTATATTTCACCCCTTACACCACCATAAGTGGGAGCCTTTGCGACCATAGGGTAATGTCGTAATGATGAAGAAGAAGATAGACAAATTTATTCTCATATGGCGTACATTTGGTTGGCCACTTTTTCCTTATATATATATGTGTGTATGTATGTATATATATGCTGCTATATATGCATCAACGGGAAGGGGATGATGATAACTCCAAAGGGACCTTGTGATATGATTTTAATTAGGTGATTAAAATAAACTAAATCAAATCGAAAGCAAGATTCTAAAAGACTAAAATAAGAAAGCCGTTGATAACTTGATATACTACTCCGTACTGTTTGATAATGCATGGAGAAGACATGTACAGATAATGGTTAGAGATAATAAATTTACCTGCCATTCCTTTCTTCGTTTCAATATTTGATAATATTCAAGAGCTGTTTCTGTTTGTTGGAGGAGCAGCTTTCTTGATGGAAACAATGGGGGATAATCCGCTAATCCTCCTCCTTTGCTGCTCTTCCACAAGTTCTCCAGCAAGCCAATCAAGTTTCTGGGAATTGCTTTCTTCTCCAATCCTCTTCCCCCCAAACAGAACAGATTCTACATTTTTCTGTAAAAGCATTTCATCTGCCATCCGAACCAGCTTCCTCACGTTGTTCGGACCAGGGTCCGTGTCTAAGCACACCCCGCCATCAACGCTAGATCCATTCGCCTGTTACAGAAAAAATTCAGTCACTTTATGCATTCTCGTTAAGCTAATAATTAGGGATAAAATTATAGGGTTTGTTTAGAAGATATCAAGTTGCATGTTGGAGGATCTAGCAACAAAAACTTGGGTGTTTAAATTGAAAGAATTTAAATACGTAGTAATTAAAATGAAAGTTTACTTTGAAAGAAAGAACTTTGTTTTTTGTATAAGATGAGACTCGAACATATTTAAATCAACCAAACTAATTCATAGGTGCAAGATCAACTAAACTTCGATAAAATAAAACCTCACCCAAGTTTGGACCAAACTCAATTTGGATAGACTTATCCAAAAAAATCAGACATAAACACATTCAAACCAAATTAATCGAGTCATGAAAATTTTAGTTGTGGAAACTAAAAAAGTCAACCCACTACTTAATGTTAGGGATAATTTATCCTGAAATGGTGTATATTTGGTTGGCGATGCGTCACTTTCAAAATGCATACTAGGCATGTCACTTTCAAAAATCAGGACATTATGTAGTATGAAAATTCTCAGGAAAAGTTATGTTCATTTCAGAAATTCAAAAAAACTCTTGAAAATTCTCAAAATAGTTTTTTTAAGCAAGAGTTGACGTTTTCCGTTTCCTTGCAACATAGTCAGGACACACTTGGCATGTAGTAAAGCACACGGGTCATGCCAGGTCACACTATTTGGTTTGGGTGAGTGAACAGGACAACTAGGAAATTAAATCCAAATTCATGAGTGAACACATTAATATTTTCACATGATATTTACTAGGAGTACAAGATTAGGCAAAATCTAAAAATTCTATCTGTTTCTTATCCATGTAGCTTTCGCTTGGCAGAGGCAAAGAGCAGAATAAAGTGAGCCTGGAGCAGAGTAAATGAGACTAAATGGGTGAGGGGAATGAATGCAGAAGTAGGCTAATAAACGTACTGTACTATAGGACAGGGGCCAGAAATGAATGATAAATAAGGGCAGCGGGCTCTTGTACAGGTTTTAGGTGAAAAAGGGCAGACTATAGTCCCTGGTGTTTTTAGGTCCACTATAAATTCTCTATAGCTTTTTGCCCTTCTCATTTATTTACCTGAAAATACTGTTCTCCTGCTCACACCACATTTATGCACCACCTGCCTGTTAACATTCACTCTTGGAAGCGCAGATCGATGGAATATGCATGTAAAGTCGTTGCCTTTTTTTAATTGGAGTCTGAAGGGGATAACAATGTTAAATTGTTTAACAGCTTAATTTCTTATGAGTGGTCATTTTCAATGCAGCACTCGCTCCATCCTCAAATAGAAGTCGGACTACAATGTCAATTACCGTTTGGTAATCCCTATTTCGAATTAATTGCCTTGTCAAAATAAGTAAGTTGATATTTATATTACAATTGAATTGATTGAAATTGTCCAAGATGACTATTTTAACTATATTTTTTCATATAATGTTTTCTATATTGTTATGCTTTTAAGGTAATGGTACTATTAATTTTTCTTAAGAACCTTACTTATTATTCAAAATCCGATTAGAAGAAAAGAAATCTGATGACAAACCTACGGCTACTAAGATCATTACACGTGCTAGTTCAAGGACCTATTTGACCCTTTATCCTTTAATAAAAAGTAATACGGAGTAAGTCACATATTGTGCAATATACTATTTTGATACTCTCTAATACTCCCTCCATTCCAGAAACAAATTCTCACTTTCCTTATTTGGATGTCCCAAAATAAAGTTCTCACTTCCTTATTTGGCAAATTATCTACATCAAAATTGTGCAAAACAGTGTCAAATAGTGTCAAAACAATAAAATTTAGCCCTCAGTAAATTTATTTCCTAAAAATGTGTGAAAGTCAACCCGGGAACTTGTTTTCGGAGGGAGTATATTTGGAATTATTTGTTAAAAGCATTACTATTTGAATTTTTCAGCAAAATTCGAACTGTTAGAAATTATAAGCCCTCTTAATTCTTAACTACGGAGTACGTATTAATCTTAGCTCCACGCCGGCCGGCGACTTGCTATGAACAAGTGTACAGAATACTACTCTACTAATGCGTTTAAAGTAGACACTAGACATGTATGGCATATATAGGAGTACCTGAATGCGGACGTAATTGGAGCTTCGGGACTGTCCGAACGCCATGGCTACGGCGTGGTCAACTAAATCCGCCGAGCAATCGCCGGAGATCCGGGCCCACTCATTTCCCTTCCATTCCTTCACTTGCTCGCATGGTAAACTGCAACCTTCTAGAAGTTGACCCGTCCCCAATGAAAGTACCAGAATGTCCTCCAATCCTCTCACCAGAGGGAACTCTTCTTTGTTGTGTAGCACGTGAGTGATGGCCGCAGCCGTCGGGTTGCTCATGGCAACTCCGCCGTCCACGGCCAAGCACCGGGTCGACCCGTCCACTGACCTCATCGGAACCGGCCCGAACACTCCCGCTTCTGCCGACGTCGCTCTGCATACTTCCCATAGCCGGAAGTCGAAGCTGTCCGACTCAAGCGCGTCGGCCCGAGAGAACAGAAACGGGGCCCGACTTGAAAGGTCGTAGCAGGGAATCAAAACCGGCTTCAGAGTGTCCTTTAATGTCAGGCTCCGACCCGTTTTCTCCTCTGCGAACGCCTCCTTCATTGCCTTCTCTAGACCGGCGACTGACGATCCAGTACTATTATAACGGAAAATTCGCCCGAATATTCCGGTCCTGCCTGAGCTGGAACCTTTCGTGGGGAACAATTTCCCCCCATTTTCAGCCAAAAACCTCCACGTTTCATCCGCTTTAAAAATCGGGCGGTTCTGGTCCTTTGTGCCGAACAACATCGCCGTGAAAATGCCTCCGACGCCGGAACCGGCGGCGACGTCGAAGTAATCAGATATCCGTGCATCCGGATTGCCCGATTTTGCTTTAAGCGCCTGCTCCAAATACGCCATTGCCTTCCCGGAGAGGATGCTCCGCATTCCGCCTCCATCAATGGACAGGACACAAACCTTCCCTCTCGAGTTCTTAATCGCTTGCACCGGAGGCGGAGTTGAGACTACTTCAAGTGCCGGTGGGATGGATTTCGGAATCCAAAGCTTCTGGTTATCGTACCCGAATAGGAACTTGCTCTCGAGGATGGAGAATATCTCGTAGCTCAGCTTATCAGTGTCAATGCTGGGCTCTTCTAGCATAACATCTTCTGCGGTGAGGTAGGGGGCCGACATTGCTGGGAAAAATCTCAAAAACTCAAAGCAATCGCGTATTTTGGTGCAATATATGTCGAAGAAAGCGAACAGAGAAATAAAGAGAGCAGCAAGATGTGCGGGGAGTTGCAGAGCATGTCTGTTGTGGTGAGGTAACCGTTTTATCCTTTTAGAGCATCCCAATGGGATAGTGGATGTGAGTAATGTCTATCTTACGTGGCATAGGAGAGAGATAGAGATAAAATGATTATTTTAATTTAATATGGAGAAAGTGGTGTGTATGAGAAATGAAAAGGAAGAGAGAGATAGGAGTAAATTGTAGAGAATGTCTATGACAATGTCCACAAATAGACTTTACACGGGAATCGATGAGTGAATGTGGATGAAAAGTGTGTTAAAAGTGATATATAAAAATGAAAAATAAAATAAATGTGAAGATATGTAGGTCCTACACATAAAATTTGTGAGATAAAAAATGGGGCCATGTGTAAGAGTGTGTAAAGAAAGTAGACATCCCCATTGGGGATGCTCTTAAAGCAAGGGAAATTAGCAATTTGACATGTAAGATTTTTAGGTGGATAAGTATTTTTTTCTAGTAAAATTAATTAAATAGGTCCTTATATTTTTTTTGAAAGTAAATAGGTCCGAACCAACATGATACCGAACCAGACCGGTATTGTACTGGACCATTAAATAGGGTTTGAAATGGATCTCAATTTTTTTGTCCAGAACCGTACCATACTGATTCCAAACAATGTCATGACGAGTTCTCATAAAATAAGAATCGGTACTACTATTTGAATTTGGTTTAATTAAGGACCAGATCGAAGTATGATTAAATTATTTAAATTTGTACTACTAAAGTTTATTTGAAATTGATTAATTACTCCATTAGTCCCAATTTGATATGCAAAATCAATATTGTTTAGTCAACCAATGTTAATGTTAAGTCCCTATTGATAATTCATAATTTTTATAATAATTAAAATTTACACATTTAGAAATCACATTAAAAACTTTTTAAAATGGCAAAATCCAAATTAAAATACACGAAGTACTTTTTTTGAAAGGTCAAATTAGAATATAATTATAAAGTGATATCCTAATTAAGTAAATAAAGAAACTATTTGACCAAAAAAATGTTGACTTTGTAAATCAATTTGGAATGGAGGTAGTATCTTACTACCTCCATTCTAAATTGAGTTACAAAGTCAACCGTACCAAATGGGTTTAGGTCTAAGACCGAACCATTTCAATAGTCATGGTACGGGTACGAGTTCAGCAAAATATTGGATCGGGCCGGACCTATCCACGCCCACCCCTTGAAAAAGTGAAGAATTGAGTGCTTGCTTTCTATAGCCTTTGTAATAATAATTTGGTTACACAGTGCTTTCTATATGATTTCTATAGTCACGTTTTTGTCTACTACTTATGTTTTAGTTATATATTTGGAATTATTTCATAAATATAGTATGGATTAATTTCCTAAATAAAAGTAATTAAAAGCCAAACTACTGGTATATAACAGTCAAACTACTTGTATAAGAATGGAAACATAAAGTTTAATTTTTTAAAATACCATTTTTAGAAGTTTGATTTTTACATATTTTTCACAAGATGAAAATTTTTCACGCAATCGAAGGTGACGGTGCTATGGAGGTGGAAGATGTGGCGGATACATATATAGTTATTATTTTTATGATTTTGTTATTAATAATTATGTAAGTCTTAAGGGATTATGAGAGAGTTCGATTTTATCCACCCTCTCCCAAGAGGGTGATAGTCACCCCTCATTCCTAGGGGTGGTTCGGTACGGTATACCTTATATTTTTTCTCAAACCTTTGCCATACCAAAACTTTCGGTATGCAAAATTTGCATACCTTTACCTTACCGAAGTTTCGGTATACCGCATTTCGGTATACCGAAGTTTTGGTTCGGTAACGGTACGGTATCGGTAAATTACCGTGCATGTCTCCCAATACAAAAAATTATCATAGACTAACGAAATATACTAAATCGTTATTACTAGCGACATATTAAATCTATTATTAAAATGTTACGAAATACAATTAATAATCATTGATGTCAATTCAATATTGAACAATAATTATTATTAGTATATTTAAGCAGTTCAACATACCACATATTAAAAAGTAACACATTCTCCTAAAATAACTTGAACAATATAGATATAATTAAATCAATAGTGATCTCTAACAAAAATAAATAAAACTATTCAAACAACATGGATATAAAATCATTTATTCTTAATATGATATTGTGTATTTAGTCATTTTTATAATTTTTTAAAAAATGAATAAGACTTTCGGACAAAGTTGTGTGTCTCGACTCGCTGAATCCCTATGTTGATACACTTGTCACATAAGTGTATCTTCACTCGTCAGCTACTTAGCGGCCCAACCATCACGACTTGAAAGCTCTTGGAACAAGATGGACTTGTTTCTTGACATTTGTACATTACTCATTAGTCATTTAAGGTTAGCGTAGTAGAAGCCTATAAGGTTATAGTGGGTTTGAGAAATTGGACCTTTATTTTTGTATTTTTGTATTTGTAACCAACTTAAGTATTAATTTTGGGCTTCAAAATTGTAATAGATTTCTTCAATATATTAGAATTAAAAGTAATTGTTGAGTAGAGAGTCGGTACGGTATTATACCGGTATACCGCGGTATTTGAAAACATTTACCGTTACCGTACCGAAATAGACCGGTACGGTATGATACCGTACCGAAAATGACGGTATACCAATATTTCGGTATTTTCCGGTATTTTTCGGTACGGTAAGTGCGGTATACCGATATTTCGGTATTTTTGCCCACCCCTACTCATTCCCTTGCCATGTGGCATTGCTTTTTTTTCTTCTTCTCATGTCCGACTCAAGATCATAAAAACAAACACAAAACAATCAATGTTAAGGTTAATACAAACCCAGCCGAAACATTTCCTATCAAAAGTACTCCAACTATCCAAATATCCAAACTAAACCTACTTGAACTAAAACTCTTTTCCTAGCATGAAGATGCTTCCAGAGGAGGATGAGATGCTGCAATATAGGTGAATACTAAATTCTTCTTATTACTTCTTTTCGAATAAAAGTAGAAACAAGTTGAGTAAAAAACACTCTGGCCAGGGCAGGGACACCAATGTAACATCCTACACCAATAGAGACAAAACATATTGGAGCACCAGTGTCCCACAAAGAATCGCCATAGAACAAAACAAACACAACAACAAAAGAAGAACAGCCACGTTTGGTCACACCCCTACAAAAATCTCTGAGAGCGATGTCATGAAGGAAACAAGCCTCAATGCAAAATTCAGCTCGAGGACGAGAAAGCCGATCTCTCGCTTTCCATCGCTCAATCGCGCCACAACTACCTGGTTTGTCAGCCGACACCTTGTCAGGCAGCAAGCGTTTCATTCGCGAGACGATTGACATATTTGATACACACAATTTACATGTTGTATAATGTGATTTACATATCACTATATGTATTTGACACAGACAATAATATACATTTTGTATAACATAACTTACATACTTGACACACACAAATTATATTTTGTAGGGAGTATAACATAACTTACATGTTTGACAAACACATTTTACATTTTGTACAACATGACTTACATACTTGATACACACACTTTACATTTTATATAATGTGACTTACATACTACCACTGTTCCGGAAAGGTTCGTCATATTGACTTTTCTTGGTGAATGATGACATATTTTAGAAAACTATTTCAATTATTATATTTACATATAAATTATAAATTTTGTACTTTTATGAAAATATTTTGAATAATTCACATTTTGATATAATTTAATTTTCATATTCAAAATAATTTCGTATTAAAAAATATCATTAATCAAAATTGATTTTCATTGATCAAGAAAAGCCAATTCGATGAACCTTTTTGTGATGGAGGGAGTATTTAATCCACGTAGTTTACATTTTGTATAACATGACCTACAATAAACACAAACAGTTTGCATTTTGTATAATGTCATGTACACCAAATATTTAGCGTTTATATCTATAAATAATATTATGAGTCTGTTTGATAATACTGGAATCGCTTGAATCAAGTAAACTTGGTGAAAGTGATGAAATGTTGGCTGAATCTAATGAATTATGAAAAAAATTAAATTAACGATATATTTTATTAAAACAATAAAGTAAAAATAATGTCAAAATATCTAAAGAGGTTCTCTACATTAATTTTAGCCAATTCAATCGTAAAAATAATTTCAATCTTACTTGTTTTAACTTTTAATGATTACAAAATTCAACCTGTGAAATAAAAAATTAATTATTTAGTAAAAAGTTGTCTAGTAAGGTTCATAAGCCAAAAAAGGATGTACGTTTATAAGTTAATCGCTCATTTTTAAATTGTTACCAAACAGGTTGTACATTTATAAGATAATCATTTATTTTTAAAAAACATTTTTTTTGAACGAAACTGGCTTAACTTATCATTACCAAACAGATCAAACGGACCGAACCAAAACAAGTTACAAAGTGACAAGTCTCCTGTCTACCGTCCGCCCAAGGACCAGACTCTGAATTAATCACCTCCGTAGAAGCCATATAATTCGTTGATCTCGCTTTGGGCTTACCTGAGCCAATGACTTGCAGACACGACTCCTCATCTCCTGTTTTAGATTCACTAGTTTATTTGCTAGAAAAACACAGCACAACCAAAACAAAAACAACATCCAGAACGTGAGAAATAAATAAAACAAAATAAAGAGAGTAAATAAGTTTCTCAGCTAAAGAGGCCGTAATCAGCATCAGATCAATTGTCCAGCGCCCGCCCCTACCCTGTTTTTTGGGGAGTCCAGCGCCATCGCATCCTTTGCAGCATCCTCCCAAGTTCGTCTCCTCTTCAGCTCTCCTGGCGCCCCTTCCTCTTCTATCTCACCCGAAATCATACCATTCCCCATTCCGGCTTTGGTACTCCCTTCTATCTCATCTGGGTCCACCTCCTGCACTGACCTCACAATACTGGATGTATACGTGCCACCTCCGGAGGAGCTCTCTTCCGAAATAAGCCATTTGCTACCCATGTTTGGCTTCGATTTCCTTCCACTCGCTCTAAGCCACGGTCCAAACGGTCTAGTCATAGCTAGCCCCTCATTTTCGTACAAAAGAGGGCAAAATTTCTCTGCATGTCCAATCACACCACATCAAAAGCAGAAACTCGGCAGTTTTTCATACTTAAAGTCTACCCAATACCCTTCTCCCCTACTCTTCCTTAGAGTGGTCCCAATCTTTAAAGTTTTACCAGTGTTCATACGGACTCTCACACATATATAATTCTCCTTTTTTTCAATTTTTTTATCATCCCAAGTGACAAATTCTCCCAAATGATTCCCAATTCTCCTAGTCGTTCCCAAATTTTCAAAATTATATGGCACATTATGAACCTGTACCTAGATCTCAAACTCATCTAGCACCATCTTAATCGGGATATCACCCAGTTGAACAGCTTTTAACAAAATCAAATTCTGATCAAACAGCCACGGTCCATTATCCAGGACACGATTCATATCAACAGAATGGAAAAATTTAAACAGATACCCCCGAACGCCATAAATCAGCCATGAAGTCCCTGAAGAACGGAAATCGAATGACTTTGTCCGTGAGAATCGTCCCAACCACCGAAAACTCCTTTGCCTTCACTGCCCCGATCGCCGATTCCCCTTCCTCTTCATCTTCAATCAGCAGTTCATCCTGTAATCCCCCAAATCCCAGACCCCCATACTTAGCAACAAGCTTACCTACCTGTTCGTCTACCTGTTCTCGGTCCTCTCTACGTCCATCATCTCCTGCGTCCTCCATCTCACTGCCGCACCAGTTGTCCGAGACTCGCCCCTCGACTCTCCTGATCGGCAATCGTCCAGCGCCGCTCGACCCTCGACTCTCGCTAGGGTAAAAAAAAGTTCGAAAGCATTCTGCTTAGTTTCAGCCAATTAGCCGTTTGTTTCAGCCAATTTATTTTGGTGAGCTGGTGTAGTCCATGACGTAGTTATTACCATTAGTCCATTACCATATATAGAAAATAAATATGGTAAATATTTCCACTACTAAATCGAACTGAATAATGATTTAATCATTGTATTTGTATATAATTTGCAAGTTTTATACTTTTATTTAAATAATTTAAATAAGGAACATTTTAATATAATTTTCATATTTAAAATAATTTCATATTAAACAATATCAAAACCTGTTAAATGTCCCACACCGGAAAATTGAGAAGCACTAGAGTGCTATATTAAACTTCGGGCTACTCCTCCTAACAGGTTGACCTTTTAGGATGGAACCCCGAGTCTTAACATGGTATCAGAGCCAAATCGATCCATGGTGTGGGGCCCCTTATGAAAAATGACGACACGATAAAAAAAAATTGACGAACCGATGAAAAATGAATGACGACACAATCCAGACGAAGTGTCTGGTCGTGAGGAGGGGTGTTAAATGTCCTACACCGGAAAATTGAGAAGCACTAGAGTGCTATATTAAACTTCGGGCTACTCCTCCTAACAGGTTGACCTTTTAGGATGGAACCCCGAGTCTTAACAAAACCCCAACTCCATATTCTTACATTTATTGAATTATTGCATTTTTTAGTACTTCGTATAAAATTGTAAAACTTAGCCGTTGAATTTCTCCCCCTTTATCAAATGTTAAAAAAATGTAAAAGTTTACTAGTCCCCATGTCAATTATTAGAAGCTCGTCTATGAATTTCACTTGTTTGAATTCTCACATGTTTAAATTTAAACTAGCCAGTGGAATTTCACCTGGATGCGGTATTTTGAATAGTGAGCTTTATAACCTTTTGTAAATTATCATTTAATTTGCAGTGGTAGATTTTACTCAGTTCAATTCTCCAATAGTCCAATCTCCATCTTCCGTGAATATTTGCCGTTTGCGGAATCGGCTAGCATACACACATTTTAGTCTTTTAGAGTATTTGAATTGATTGATGATCACATAAGAACTTCGAATGGACTTAACCAAGCGCAAGTTCTAACACTTCTAAGACCGAAGGATAGTCTTGGACCCGGTTCGGGCCGCCCGGCTCGGGACCGGCCCGGTTCTCGGGTCCGGGTCGAGCCTAGGCCCGGTGGGGGGAGCGGGTCCGGGCTCGGGTCTTATATTTGGCGAACCGGCCCGGCCGGGCCCGGGCCGAATTGATTTTTTTTTTTCATTTTTGGGGTTCCACCCGGGTTGGGCTTGATGGTTAGGAGGGGTTTGGGGGGTGGGGGGGTTAGGAAAGCAAAAAAAAATATAACCAAACCAGAGGCCCGGCCCGGACTGGACCCGGTGGCTACCCGGGCCGGTCCCGGGCCTTCCTTCCCCAAAAAAAAGCCCGGCCGGGCCTGGCCCGGAACCGGCCCGGGTCCATGACTACCGAAGGACTACGAGTTGAATTCTTGAAGATCATTTACATCACGACGTGGTTCTAAAGACACTTGGAGAATGCTATTCACAGAACCACAAGCTCACGAGTCACAACAACAACTAGCGCAGGGCATTATAAAGGGTACATATCAAGCTCACATTCTCACCAGGGCTTGCAATATATAGGGAGTATTGTCAATCATTATAAGTCATAACAGAGTTGATGCTCCTCCAAAACAAAATTAAAGTCCAAGGTAAAATGCATAGAATTTCACTGCTTTATTGGATCAGGAGTCAAGACCAATGAGAAACTAACCATTGGGGATGATTCAGAAGAAAAAAATTACAATACAAGTTGGCAATGCACAGATTAATAGAAAAAGAATTTACCACACAGAAGGAGAGGGAGAGAGAAAATGGTGTTTGACATAAAGCTCACACGGTCCTTCAAATAAAACTCACAAGGGGGATGACTAGTGCTTCACAGCAGTAACATGCCTTAGAAGCATGTGGACAACATCATGAGAAATTCTTGCAGCTTCTGTTGTCAGGTGATGAATCTTGGCCTCAGTCTCTACCTCTAGACGCTTAACATTTGCCCCAGAGTCCCCACTACTCTGTTTCACAAAATAAAAGCATTTGTTACACACTTCATACTTGAGACAGCAGGCAAGTAAAGCGTAAGAGATACAGTATTTATTTGTTAACTGTGGATATGGTTCACCCCTGAACCATAACATTGGCTGTTTCTGTTAGACACAAAACTGACATTGAGCAATGATTGAGCAAATACCTAACTATGGATTTTTCTAACATTATCTGATGATTAACAACAAAAACAATTTTATACAGCCTTTGTGTATATGGATTTCATAATAATCATAATAATTATTGTTATTGTTGTTGGTATTGTTATTATTTTTATGACTATTATTATTATGCATTAATACCTGTGCGAGCTTTTTCTGAAATTCAGATTCCATATGAGCACGGAACTCCGATATCTCCTTCTGAGCTTCTTCTTTAGCCTGTTTCAATCTAGCCTGTTTTGCTGCAAATGTAAACAAGAAACTTCAGCCGTCTTTTCCTACTCGTGTGTTGAGTATCCCACTGCTAACAAAATCTGGCATCTCCCAGTTCAGGAGCATGTTTGTATGACTACTTAAACTCACATACTTCATAATGCAAAGACACAAGGAATTTAGTTGCCTAGTGAGTTCGGGATTAGTATCTAAGTGATGTACACCTTATCAGAGGAGGAACTTTTTTAGATGAGTTAGACTTATCTTGGTATAAAAAATCAGGTATACTACTGCAAGCCCATTCGGGGTAGGTCTGGACCAATTTGTCCAGCCCTTTAGCAGCTGAGTACTTGAGACTGGCTTGACTTTGAGGGAGGGGGATGTGTCGAGTACCCCACATTGATTGTGTAGTAGATTTGAGTCTAATCTAGTACTCCGTATATAAGAGTGAAGTCCACACCATTGAGGATATTTTGTGGCATGTTAGGTCCAATTTAATATAGTGGTCCAAGTAATGTAGTCTAGTAATAAGAAAGGAGAAATCTCATAGCCACTACTCCTGTTGTTTCTATATGCTCAGAGCAATAAGTTGCAGCCGAGCATATTCTTCAGCCAAACTTGTATATACAGTAAATCCATACATTAGTTCAAGTACTTCAACCACATAAAGATGCACAATGGAAACGTCCTCAACAAAAAACAGAAGTGAAGTTGGATACATGTTTCACTAAATCCACCATTATAAGAGAGAAACTATACAAACTTTTGATTGTATATACGTAATTTTAAACTTAAAGTTTCATGGAAATGGACAATCTAGTGAAAGACTGGAAAAAGACCATCGAATCCAAGTCATAATACAAAGGGAAAAGAAGGAGCATAAAGCTTTTTTAATACTACGTATTGATTTTCTCAGAGAAGTTGAATTAACAAATTCATTCATACACCGATGTGTTAACAAAAACAAAGGATCTTACGGTCTTACCACTCCTTGCAGCATTGACAATTTGTTGAGCTTCTTGTTCTGCTGCTAAGAGTAGTTGAATTCCACCTTGTCCCCTGCTAGACTCCATCCTGGAAAAAGGAAACAATGAATACTACGTGCAATGATCAGACCAAATGACATTTAAAATAATGACTTGAGCTGTTGAGAAGGCTTGAATGATATTCACAAAACAAAATAACAGTCCAACCCTTTATATAATGGTGGACTTAGTATTATAATCAGAATCAACACTGAATAATATACATTTATGAATAACATGTCATATCAAATAAAATACGGAGTAATAAGCTTAGTGATATAATATGTATGAATTAGATCATTATGTACTTGTAATTTTGCTGATGTAAAATCACACACACAAATAGATGTCACCCTGATCAGAAATCACATTGCACAACTTATGCGTGTCTTAGTCAAGAATCCTTCACTGGATGGACAATAAGAATTGTTTTATGATAAATCTATGAAAAAAGTGGGAATACCACCTATTGAAGATAAGGCACAAATAGTAGAGTAATGCTAAAGATCCAGACTTTTCCACCGTTTATTACTATTCCTACTTTTATTAAAATCAAATCCCCATCTGCAGAATTTTGGATCTTCTCCGTACTAGGGCAACATTGCCGGCTTACTGGTTGGTTGTCGAATTACAGCTTAATGTAACTCCTTAATTTAGAAAATTATTTATCGTTTAACTGAAATAGCAGTTAAATAACGAAACTCAACAACACCCTTTAAGCTTGATCTATTCACTGCTAAAAAAAATATAAAAAGATATATACGAACAAAATAAGAAGACAGATGGTAATAATCGACTAACCTTGGGATGTTAGACGAACTGCGTCCGACCTAAGGGGAAGAGGAGCTGCAAACGGAGAGAGCAATATAGCGTACGCTGTCCCGCTGAGATGGTAGATCGGATGAATTCGTATACCGAAGAGATTGGTTAGATTATTCCAGATCCTGGGCATGTGATTTTCTAATGGACCGGATCATTTAATTTGGTAGATTTTAGGGAAAAAAGTACACTTTACATACCTGTGATTGTGGCCGTTTGCAATCAGGGGTCTGTGATGAACTTTGCAACAAATCCAAGCTTCTGGTTTCCTACCGTTACCACCCGCGGGGTCTAAGCAACTGGGCCGTTAGTAATACGCTATGTGGCACTTTTTTTTTTGCTTACGTGGCTTTTAATCCCAATCTATTAACACCATGTGTGATTACATAGCTTTTATCCCTAGTCCATACCGTGTTAACCTATTTGGACCATATAAGCATACGAAATCCATTCTTCTCTTCCACAAACACAAATACAAATTTGAAGAGATGAGTTTTTCTAATTCGAGCTCCTGTGCGATGGATGGAAGACAACAAATCAAGAAGTGCGGCTGTGGAGTCCAAGCTCCTATTTGGACGGCGACAACAGAGAAGAATCGGGGGGAAAAGTTTCATGGTTGCGGCCGTTATTCTCGAGGGGGCGAACAACTATGCAATTTTTTTGAGTGGGTTGAAGAAGATACGTGTCGTACTTGTCTGGATAACTTAGATGCTGTTATTGAGAAGGTCAGAAGACTTGAAGAATATGTCCAGATGAAAGAGTTGGAGATGGAGGGTGAAATAAAGACATGTGTGCGTGAAATTGGTGTGTTGAAGGTTCAGAACATGGAACTGCAACTGCGGATGTCTAAGAATCATAATGTCACTTTTAAGTGGAAGCTGCTCTGTCTGGCCATGTTAATTTTCATGCTCTTTGCAAGTAGAAGATTTTAGGTCTAAGTTCTTTGCTAAGTTTTCGATGAAATGACCAAACCACATGTAATTGTGTTTGGGGATTCCTTTAGTTTAATTTCATGTGAGGCGTTTTGTTGTGAGTGATGTCCAATGTAATGCACCAATGTAAGAACCTTGTAAAGGTTGATGTCAGATTGTATGAAGTCTTTGGCTGTAACAATTTGTGTGAACTTGTTTAATGTTATAGCAGTTTATTTCTCCACATCTTGTTTTGGTTAATGTTATAGTAGATATACTGGGAGTGCTGTGAACTTCTTTAATGTCATAGTGGTGTTACAGAACAGCTTCTTTTGGGTATGAAATTCTCAATCCAAAAGATTGATTCAGGCTTTACCTAAAACAGAACATATGGTTTGAGTAAACAGATTACCAAAGTAAACAGATACTTTCCATCCATACTAAATTGAACATATACCAAAACACTGACCTACAACAACTTCACTTAACATAATATGGTTCACACCCAAAACACTGACCTACAACAACTTTACTTAAAATACCAAATTGAACATATACCAAAACACTGACCTACTTCCCCAGAGAATAATATGGTCCCCTGAACCATATTCACAGTGCAACCACTCCAAGGTTCTTTACTCACCCAATATGGTTTGATATGCAACATTACAGATTAACATGACATCCATATTTATACATAAAACCAAATCTATCCAATTTTCACACATCCATTACATCCAATTTGCACACATCCATATTTATACATTAAACCAAATTCATCCAAAAGATTAACATTGAAGAAGTTAACATAAACAGAACATATGGTTCCCTAAACCATATTCACAATGCTTACATAAAAGATTCAGAACATATGTTAACCACAAAATATGTTCCTTACATAAGTATCATTACAAAACACATGCTTACTAAGGCATGATTTAAAAGTTCATATACTGATATCTAAACATGTCTACTAAAGCACCATTCTTCTTCTCCCCACAACAAAACTGCAACATTCCAGGTCTCTTGTCAGTTAATCCTCAACTTTGTGTGCCCTGAAAAAAGTAATAACATCATAATAAGTGTAAAAACAACACATTACAAGACTAACAACACATTACCATACAATTACCATTGAGGGTTGTGTACTTGAGGACCTAGTCACTCTTTTGGAAGATGGTTGGGGTGGTTGTGAAGTGCTGATTCTCCTTTTCTTCTTTGTTCTTCCTCCAGTGCTTTGGGAAACCGGATCATGGGTCATGGGAGTTGTCAATTCACTGTCATTATTGGTTGTCTGAAGTGGCTCATGGGAGGTTGGTTCAGAAATATCATCAACACCCTCTGCTTCCGTTTGGACATTTTTTTCTTTCCTAATCTCTTTCTCCTTTGCCATGTTGTTTCTCCAGTTATGGATGTCTTACACCCTCTAACATTGTGTCCCACTTGCTTATAGTTGCCACAAACCACCTGCTTACCTGCCCTAGACACCTTGAAAGGATTCCTTGTTTCATCAGGTTGTTTAATCCTCTTCTTTTTTGGTCTTCCTGCAGGTTTTCTAGGGATTGGGGGCACAATATCTGGAGTCTCTGTCCTCTCCCACTCATCTTTACTTGGCAGAGGATGGATAATGTGTTTATACACAGCTAAGTAGGTGGATTTAGCATAAAAAGGACTTACATAGCCTTCAGGTTTTTCTCGGTTTGCATATATAGCAGACACTCCATGCTTACAAGGGATGCCGTTTAAGTCCCACCTTCGACATGTACAAGTCCTGTCTTTTAGATTAACCACATGGCTAGTATCATAAAAATCTACCTCAAACAACATGTCTCCAGCAGGAGTGGAAAAACAATTCCTACTTTCAAATTTCAACTTTTCAAGTAGATCCTGCTTATTAGGACATATTTCACCCTTATATTTCATCATGGCAGTGTACTTAACATGAAACCTAGCCATTAATCTTCTTCTAATCCACTCAAACATGCTCAAAATATGCATATCTCTTGCTCTGAGTATGTAGGCATTGAATGACTCACAAATGTTGTTCTGAAGAGCATCAGAATGTGCTAGGGTTGAGAAATGGGATCTGCTCCAAGTACTTGCGTCATACTGCATAATCCAGTTGTAAGCAGCCTCATCAAAGCTCTTGATGCCTTCCATTTGCCTCTGCCATGACCTCAGACTTCCAGTGCTAGCTGCAAACCATAGCTTTTTTTTGTATTCAGGCCCTCTAAATATCTTCTTGTAATTCTCATACATGTGCTTCACACAATATCTGTGCTCATTTGCAAGTGAGACAGCTTTAAATGCTTCAACCAGTCCCTGAAACAAGGTAGCAATTAGAAACAGTATATGGAAACAACAAAAGGACTTGTTTAAGCATGATATAGGTACAAATTTTTAACACACCTTCTGCTTGTCTGACATGAATACCCAATTAGTTTCTTCTGGTCTTCCAAAATCTTCAAACAACACTTGCAAGAACCAAGTCCATGAAGCTTTGTCTTCACTGTCCACATAAGCTATAGCAAGAGGAAACATGTTTTCATTTCCATCCCTTGCTACAACACAAAGCAGTTGGCCTCCCATTGGTGTTTTCAAGTGGCACCCATCTAACCCTATTAAGGGTCTAAGACCTGCAAAGTAACCCTGCTTCTGAGCACTAAACCTCATGTACATGTATTGTAGCATTAGAATTTCTTTGGGTATTCTTGGTACACCCTCTGCAGCACCACCTTCTTCATTGACATCCCTAGCTTCGGTTTTGATTTTTACAAGACTCCCAGGGTTGTATTTAACAACAGTTTCTGCATAATCCCTCAACCTCCTATATTGTTCTTTGATGTCTCCTTGGATCTTTGCCTTTGCTTTTCTTCTAGCTCTGTAACACTTTGCAAGACTCACCTCTGCCCTTAACTGTCTTTGAACTGACTTTTGCATATCAGTGACATCCCACTCAAGATTTTCCCTCAACTCATCCATGTACTTTTTTGCCAAATAGCTACTACTCACCAAGCTGTTTCTGTTACTAAAAGGGCATTCATGTTTGGGCCTGAATGTTTTTATTTGGAAGGACCCACATTCTGGAACTTTTGATGCATGAACCCTGAAAGAACAAATGTCCTTGTTTTTGCAAACCATAGTGATTTTAGATCTATTGTTCTTAACAAATTTGAATTCAAATCCACCCTTCACTGCCCATTCCTTAAGAGCATTTCTAAAAGAGGTATGTGAGGTAAATTTCAAACCTTTGGACAATTCTGGATTTTTAGCTCCTGTTTCTTCATTGAAATCTTCATACTTTTCATCACCATCTTCAGATCCTACAATGCTATGCAAGTCATCACTATAGCATGGACTTTCATTAAACTCCTTAAGCTGCTCTTCATTCAGATCTTCTGGAAAAAAGGGGTTTGGTTCTGAAGTTTGGTCTGGACCTGGGGGTGGTTGTTGGCTTAAACTTGCAGCTCCATGATTAAATACATCATCTTCACTCCCTTCTAGGTCATCATATAGCCAGCTAGCTTCACTGAGATTGGAATTGGAATGGTCATGTGAAGCACTTTCAGATCCACTTTGATTCACATAGTCTTCATCATCCTCATCACTCTGTAATTCAGTTTCAACAAATGTAGTGGATTCACCCACAGATTGGTGTGCTTCTCGAGCTTGGTCTTTATTTTGTAATTGGGCTTGTAATTGAGTTGGGACTGAACTGTGGGCTTCCTGTGAAGTTTGGGTTGTTTCTTTTGCTAAAGTACCAACCACCCGTTTTTTACTTGTGTTTGCAACAAAGTACAAGTCAATGTGTGGGTCCATTATGTTACACACCAACATGTCTTGAACATCTTTATCACACACTATCTCTTGCAAGTTGACTGGTCCACACAACTCCCTAATTGAGAATCTTCTAAACCACATTTTTACCCCATTTGTATAACCCAAATCTGCTGCATATCCCTCCAATTCGAACTTGCTCACATAGTCAATGTCAACTTTATCTTTTTCCAAAACCTGGCCCCTCACATACTTTTTCTTTTGTTTTGGACAGTCCCACTTGCCACCATGGTGAATTAAAAAATTCACGTACTCACTCAAACCCAACTTGCACATACATTCAATGCGGACAAACTACACTTCAATACCACAAAAGAATGAAAATTTAAACTGCAACACAACCTACACATACCCATTAACACTTCCAACGAACCCATTCGCACATCAATTTACCTACCAACCAGGTTTCCTAACAAGCGTCACACCCTAACCAAAATATGTAAACCAAAATATGTAAACCAAAGAAACAATAATTGGAGTACTTACTTTCACGTGAAGACTGTAAGGACAAAAAACTACAATTCCATCTGCCAGTGCTTGCGTTATTGTCCTTTGTCTGCTTCGACCAACAATCTTTGTTCTTTCCCAACCGGAGGTGTAGAATCGAAGGGGAGGAAGAAAATCAGTATCACGCCTAATTGTAATTGGGTTTTCTTCAGCCCTAATTTCACTTAACTTTTGCATTTTTAAGTAATTCAAATAATACATCTTCATTGGCCACAGTGGATATTAGTTGGAAAAAAAGTGCCACGTAGCGTATTACTAACGGCCCAGTTGCTTAGACCCCGCGGGTGGTAACGGTAGGAAAGCACAAGCTTGGATTTGTTGCAAAG